TGATCTGTTCTGCATATAGCTTGAAAAGGTATGAAATCCAAAACCATATCAGGGACAAATTTGAGGCTTTTAACATCGATGAGCAAAGACCAGATGACTGCAGGAAGATAGCGAGAATATCACCCACGAAGAATACAAAAGAAGAGGAAGAAAGTACCAAGATGGTTGTCAGAAGAGACTGAATATTGCACTAGAGTGCCAAGAAGCCAAAGCAAAGGTAAGAAATAAAGGCTGGCTCTGGAGTTAGTTCTTGTAGCTGTGGCTGGCTCTTCAGCCTCAGGCGTTCTGGAACTTCCCAGCCTTGGAGTAGACATAGGGTTTGGTGTGTCTGTGCAGGGTGTCCTGCGCCTTGCAGAAATACCTGTATACCTCTAGACACTTGACAGCAGCAGGATTCCGCAGCCCTTGCGCGAGTTCAGGGCTTGAGGATGCGGTTCTGTGCCTGGCTCCTTGTGTGCAGAGCACACATCTTCTTCATCTTGGGCACCTCCTGAAGTAGTATGTCATCCGTAATGGTCCTGATCACCGCTGCTGTCTTGTTTTACGTCCAGAAAGCTTCATCTTTCAGGTCATCCGAGAAAAGGATAGGGGAGGCGCTTGGTGAGGCTCATGAACAGCCTCTTCAGCACAACTAGATTGAAGGTCAAGTTGGTTCGTCTGGCCGGTAACCTGTAGAGCTTGATCAATGGCGGAAGGTGGAAGACCTGGCTCTTGGGCTCTTTGCGATGGACCTTTCCATCCTTGTGGTGGATGTCAACTCCCACGATGGCGCCTACTGCTCAGCTGGAGCAGGTGGCGTTTTGAGGTTTCCAAACTCCTAACTGCTAGGCTTCCCTAACATTTGTGTGGCGGGCGCTGTTTGGGCACTTTATGTGCATGAACTAAAATAATTCCAAAACATTTCTACGCGTTAGAGGCTGCTATCATAACATTCATTTACTACTAAGAAATTACCTCAGAAGGAGGTCAAGTAATTTGCCCGGAGCCAGAGTCAGTTAAGAGCAGAGATGGGTTCCGAACCCACGTTTGGCTCCAGAGTCCCCTGATCTTACTTAACAACTTACTAGACTGCAAAGGTGAGGAGTCATCATTTCAAGGAATCTCCTCCGTTTTGGGGAAAGAATCCAGTTTTTTCACGGCGTCTGCACACTGGCATTTCTCCAGCCCTCTCTGTACCGAGCCATCCCTCTCAATTCAGTACTCAACCCACTTCGACACAGGACCCGATGCTTTACCCTAGTCCAAGGCTTTTCTCCAAGCAACTGGAGTATGTTCTGAGTTCTCGAGGTTGTAAGTATCTGCTGGCCAATGGGAGCTGAGGAGGCACGGAGTCAGCCAATGAAACTGAGAGCTGGGCTGTAGGCGGAGCCAGCGCGGGAAGCCAGCTCCGGGTCCTGGGCTTACAGTGTGCACGTCTGCTACCTTGGGCTGAGCCATGAGCTGGACCTGCCCGCGCTGCCAGCAACCCGTTTACTTTGGTGAGACCTGGGCTGAGGGAAGGGGAAGCTGGGGCGAATATGAACCTCTGAGTTCTCTGAGGTGCTGGCGATGGTGGTGTTTCAGACTCTCTCTGCTACCTCTGGCGGCGCTAGGGCACCACACACCTCCCTGTCCCTGCTGGGTCTACCTCCCCACCTTCTGGTGGGACACATTATTGCGGGGCAGGATGGAACGGACCTCCCGGAGACACCCATGTCGTCTCCAGGGTGGGGAGGTGTAATTTCACCAGAAGGCTGAGGGGTAAAGGAAGGAGCCCGCTGCTCCACTTGTTGCCCCGCAGCCTGGTTCCACTTTGTCCCCCACAGCTGAGAAAGTGAGCTCCCTGGGCAAGAACTGGCACCCGTTCTGCCTGAAATGTGAGCGCTGCCACAGCATCCTGTCCCCTGGTGGGCACGCAGAGGTAAGGCCCTGTCTGTGATGCCCTCAGGCTCTGACCATTACTTTGAGCCCTGAAGATCTGCTAAAGGCAACCACCCACCCACCCCCAAGCACCACATCAGCCCACTAAACGCGTGGAGAGAGAGAGTAGGACCCGCAATGTCACCTGACCTACATTGTCCTTCCTCCCTCAACCACATTGGCAGTGTGGGCCAGCGCCCCCCTGTGCCAGCATTCCCCATCCCTCCCAAATCTACTGGGCCAGGCCTGTCCAGACCTAGCAGCCTGTCTTGGGGGCAGAGAAGAGACCCCCTCCTCCTTTCCCTAAGCAAGCCCTTCCCTCTCCTTGTGCCTAGCATAACGGAAGGCCATATTGCCACAAGCCATGCTATGGGGCTCTCTTTGGACCCAGGGGTAAGTAAGCACCAGCTTGGAAGGGGTGGGGTGCAGCAGGACCCTCCTTTCCTGGTGGTTGCATCCTGCAGGTTCAACCTGTCCTCGCTTGTTTTCTTTGCAGGGGTGAACATTGGCGGTGTGGGTTCCTACCTCTATAATCCCCCCATTCCCACCCCTGCCAGCACCACACCTCTTAGCCCCAGCAGCTTCAGTCCCCCCAGACCCAGGAGTGGCCTCCCCCAGGGCAAAAAAAGTGAGTCCCAGCCTCTCTTCTTTCAGAACCTTCCCAGGGCACAAACAGGTGGGGTGAGGCGCAATCTTCCTCTCAGCTTTTGCTTCAGAGTCTTACAACTTTTAGTCTTGGCAAAGGCTTCTCTTACCCGTGACCTCTTTTTTGGATGCTCCTTATGCCAGCTGTTGAGAGGTAAATAGGGCATAGAACATTACCACTCCTATTTCACAGGTCCAAAGAGGGCAAGTGACCTCATGCTAGCCACATAGCTAGACAGTCAGAGCAAGCCTGGCACTTGAGCCTCTCTCAGGTGTATGGGTGAGAGGTCGTTAGTATGAAGTCAGCCCCTCACTTTCATCAGCTTCTCCCCTCCAAGCCTTGTTCCATCCTGCTGCTGGACGGGGCAGTGACACCAGGCTCCCCACCACCTGACACCTGTGCCCTGGCCAGCTTCTGTATCAGCTCAGGTTCCCCTGAGGATCAAGTTACTGACAGGGTTGGGCTGCTGTGCACTTGAGCCCTTGGGAGGACAAGAATGAAGCAAGCGGTCCCTCCTGTCCACAGTGATGGACCAGGAGGTGGAGTCAGAGGTGACTCAGCTGAGGCAAAGGAGATCAGTGGCTGCCTGGGAGGGACTGGGTGGGGGCTGGCTTTTGGAAGAAGCAGGTACTACATGCAAGCCGTGTGCTGGTGGGCCCTGCTCCGGCCTTGGCTCCACTTCAGCCCTAGCCAGGGCCTCTTCCCCTTAAAGGCCCTCCCCACACGAAGACGTTCACTGGGGAGACTTCGCTCTGCCCGGGCTGTGGGGAGCCTGTGTATTTCGGTAAGTCACAGCAGAAAACTTGGGAAAGGCAAGCCCATGGTGGGCAGCAAGGGGTAAGGAGGAAATCCAAGGCAGGTGGGTCTCCCTGCCTATCCCTGGAACCACCACCTCTACCCCCTATCAGCTGAGAAGGTGATGTCTTTGGGCAGAAATTGGCACCGGCCCTGTCTGAGGTGCCAGCGCTGCCGGAAGACGCTGACTGCCGGGAGTCACGCTGAGGTAAGCAGGGCAGAGATGGTGGGTATGAAGGGCGACAGGAGAGGAAAAGAGTGACGGGCTTAGATGGGTTTTGGTTTTGTTTTTTTTTCTATCTCTGTCCTAGCATGATGGTGTTCCCTACTGCCACATCCCCTGCTACGGCTACCTGTTTGGCCCCAAAGGTGGGCAGCCCCACCCCAGACACTAAGCCTGAAGTATGACATGTGCATGGCCTGTAGGGAAGTGTGAACAGTTTGCCCTGGGGTCACACATACCCCAACCCTCTTCCACTAGCCCTGAGTCCTGAATTGAGCATCCCCCAGCCTGAAAGCCCGTGGTGATGAAGCGCTCTCTCTCTCTCTCTCCCAGGTGTGAACATTGGTGATGTTGGCTGTTACATCTATGACCCAGTGGAGATAAAGTCCAAATGAGATGCTCTCAGGAAAGATCAGACTGTCCACAATTCTTCCTGTGATCCCATGGGGGTGCGAAAAATGGGGGCCTAGGACTAAACTCCATGGGAAGAACAGGCCTGTGGGAGAGAAAGCCTGCACTTTACCAACTCTTCACTCTCTGCTTCCTATCTGATCAATGGTCACAGGTCACCCCTATTTAAGAATGGCCTTCCTTGCTTCCCCCATCCTGTTCCCTAGAAAATTCTGGACATTCAGAGTACTCATAAAACTTATTTATTGAGCCTTAGCCTCCCTGGTTTCTCCTGTAAAATGTCCCGTGCCTTCTGTGTGGGCATGAAGACACTGGCTTGGAGAATGAGGCATGTGTGTATATGGGGGGCAGGGGATGCACTTCTCTGTAATGTGTCTAAGAGGTAGCAGGACCATTTTTGAGAGCAAAGAGCTCTGTTCTGGTATCTTGATCCTGGCACTGGACAGCCTCCTATCCACACAGTGGACAGCATGTCCACCCACCAGATTGATTCCAGAAGTCATAATAGACCAGACAGTCCCTTTCTTTAGCACTATCTCTAGAAAAATTACCTTCTTTACCATTTCAGTTGAGTATGACCACAGATACTGTTGTGAAGTGGGCTTAATGGGCTTCATGTTCCCATCTGAAAGATGAGCAGACTGAGGCCCAGAGAGGAGAAGCCACATGCCCAAGGTTGCAGAGCAAAAATCATTGGCAAAGCTGGGATAAGAGCCCAGGGCAAGCTCGGTGACTTCCCATCCAGGGGTCTCTGCACAGCTCCTCCATGCTGCTTCAGCCCACAGGACACCTTCATTCACAGAACCTCCTCCAGCCATGAGAGATGCCCAGAATTTTCTGGTGGCCCACTGCTTTCTGGGAAGTTGCCTCATGGCTGGAGGCAGAATAGTCAAGGCTGGATGAGCACAAGGAGGGGGCACTAGTGGCCCTGGTCAGAGAGCTTGATACCTCCAGCAAACATGGCCTGCCCTTCCATCTCCCAGATCCTGCTACAGAACTTCTGCAGAAGGCCTACTCCAATCTCACTCAGTCCTGAAACTGCTTCATATGCATCTCTTCAACCTGAAGGCTGGCTGAGGTACTAGGGAGAAAGAAATCATGAGCCGAATAGGTTCAGCCCTTGAACCCACCACCCAGTTTACCCCATCAAGGCTGACCCAGGGCGTTCCCGGCCTGTGGCATGCAGACATGTGTACTCCCATGAGTGATTCACACATAGCTGATGTGCAGGCAAACCTGAGAGTGCATGCATGTGCCTTTCCCTGATGATTTTGGTTATTTGTGTACACATACGTGTGGACTCACAATATTCTTCCACACATTCAGTTTACGTATCCCAGGTATATATATCCCCTAAAAATGCTCAGCTGTGTATCCTTGCATGTGTGCCCCAGATATCTATGCAAATATGTACAAATATGTCTCCTCCTCTGCCTCCTAAGGTGCCACACGTACCCACATGCATATGCTTGCACATGCAGACACAGAGTCCTATGCACACACCTCTTCTGCTCCACGTCCTGGGTGGTCTTCTCTACGTCCTGGATGGTCTCTGGCAATTGTGCCTCCCTTGTCTCTGGCAGCAGGAGGGCCATGCAGGCACCAAGCAGGGCGAGTCCCCCATAAGTGAGCTTGGGAAGCGGTATCCACACGTCATCCAGCAAGGCCGCCATGGGGGCCAGGGAACCCCCAAGCCGGCCCACCAGTGCAGTCAAACCCAATCCTGTCTGTCTGTTGAGAAAGTATGGAGGAGTGTGAGTGTTCATACTTACTGGGGAGTCGTGCCCTACAGAGCTTCCTTTCTGAGCTGGGAAGTCCTGGAATCCCTTCACCCCAGGCAGCTAAGAGAGCCACGGCTTCTATCAGTCGGCCTTTTCCCCCAGGCCAGGAGACCCTATTCTCAATGCCGGTGAGGTTCTGTCACGAGTAATCATTGATATTGTTGTTAGGTGCCATCATCAAGAGTAATCATTGATGTTGTTGCTAGGTGCCATCAAGTCGAGTATAACTCATTGAAAGGGGAGAGAAGATTTAAGAACGAAAGGTGGGGGAAGGTAATAAAGAACAAAGAGGGCCAGCAGCTTGCACCAGCCCTGCTGCATTGGTAGAAGAGGCTCAACAAGCCTTTCTGAACACATTCAGCGCCTAGAAGCTACCTCTCCAACTGAGAGCCCCAAAATTTATACCCAGAGACAACCCCCAGAAGCAGCTCTGTCTCAGTGGTACTGAATGGGTTGGGGAGGGCAAATGGGGTTTCTAGTAACTGTTTTCTCCCAAAAGAGGTTCAGACTGGTTGCCTGACTCGAATCAGGGTTTACTGTTCATAGATGTAATGTGACCTCCCTTCTCCACCCTCCAGCTCTATCCTACACAGACAATCCTGAGTACCTGTGTGTTCTGGGTAGGGCATCCGGATTGGGTGAGAGAGATTGCAGTGCAGAGTGTATGTGTAAAGGGACCTTGGTGGTACAGTGGTTAAAGTCCTCAGCTGCTCACAGAAAAGTCAGCCGTTTGAATCCATCAATCACATCAGCCCCTCAGGCAGAAGATAGAGTTGACAATCTGCTTCCAGTAAAGATTACAGCTTTGGAAACTCTCTAGGACAGTTCTGTATAGATGTCATGAGTAGGCAGTGAGTTTTGGGTGTACACTGGGGTGTTGGTAAAAGATGCCACTTACAAACCTACTTCACCTCTAGGAGCCCAGGTACCACTCACCTGAGCACGGTAGGATACAACTCAGATGTGAACAGATAGGCAGTAGTGAAGGCGGCTTCAGAAAAACCCTTTCCTATTACTTCCAAGGCAGTACTCCACATCTTCATCTCTGGAGGAATAATAGTTCAGAAAGTGAGCTAGTGGGAGGTACACGAAAGGCGGGGAGGCGGGACTCGGGATGGGCGGGACCACATGGATATGGGTGGGGCCACACTGTTGTGGGAGGGGCCACCAGGCTATGGGCGGGGTCTACAGGCGGGACTCACCGGCAGTGACCAGCAACCGGGCCCACAAACAGAGTGTGGTGCCCAGCAGCGCTCCAGCCTGCGTGAAGCGGCGTCCGACGCGACGCACAAACAGGTAAACCAGCAGTTTGGAGGGCAGCTCCACAACACCGAATAGCAGCTGTGTTTGGTACCGGTTCAGTCCCAGCCCCAACATATTGAGGCTCAGGCCATAATAGGAGAAGTTCACTCCAAACCTAAAGAAGATCGAGATGCCGTTCAAAGCGCCCTCCTTCCCATTTTCGTCATCTTCCCTCCTCAGAGAACCTTAGCTTAATTTAGCAGGACCACCTGCTCCCCTTCAGAGTCCGATGTCTAGGATCTCCCTGCTCTCCATAATCTTCCTTGAATGCACAGACCACTCCAGTGTTCAAAGCCTTTTATCCTAATCATTGTAACAAACTGGACATACAGGAATTAATATAATCCCTATTATACAGAAAGGAAATGAAGGCTCAGAGTGCTTAGGTGACTTGTCCAAATTTGCACAGTAAGGAAGGACAGAGTGAATTTCAACCCGGCTGTATCTGATGCCTGTTCCAGCTTCTGGCCTAACTCAGCCAGCTCTCCACCAGAAACGCATCCTCCTGCTTTCTGCAGTGTCAGTTCACTTGCCCGTCCTCGCACCAGCCCCACCCCGGCAGCTGCCCCCACCAGTCAGCCCGGGTTGCCAGGCCAGCGCCTCTCACCACACCACCATGCAGCACAGTGAGATGTGTCGGAGCCGTGGTGTGCGGAACAGGTCCAGGTATGAGGGTCTTCGGTGTTCCTGCTCCCCTGCAGCCACCTTGATCAGGGCCTGGTGACAGGTGGGGCAAGCCTGTGAGGCTCAGCCGGGCACAGGGGTCCCTCTGTGCTTCTGCAGGGGTACTCATGGGAGCCGAGAAAGGTGGGCCCTGAATCAAGAATGTGAGTAGGACAGTCCAAAGACTTTGGGCTTTCCCATGGGGCCAGGAGCTTTTCCTGTCACATACAGTGGCGCCCTAGGGGAAGGCACTTAACACACATTCACCCTCACCTCCTGGCTCAGGCTGTCCTCACTCACGGTCCGCCCATTGAGCCTGGCGCAGCGGAGGAGATACCTCTGGGCCTCGTCCACGCGGCCCTGGGTCAGAAGCCAGCGGGCTGACTCAGGTACCCACCTGGAGAGAGACCCAAAGGACTTCAACTAAGAAACTGGGTTGTGGGCCTGTCCCACACACCCTAAACTTCATCTCTCTAACATTTTTAGCGTCTATCTTAGTCAGCCCCTCAGCTGGGAATATTGGAAAACTTTCCTCCCTGTCCCCTACCTGATGAACTCTTCTTAGTCCTCTTTTAAGCAACTTCTTCCCAGACTTCCTGTGATCACCACTGCCAGGAGTCTTTCTTGGATCAACTCTGCCTTTCTTTCTTTTCTTTGTTCTTTTTCTTTTTTTTAATTGTTGTGTACTGTGGGATCTGACTGGCACAGGAGCAAGGGCACAGGAGGAGATTGCCCCTCCTTCTCCAGCAGAGCATTTGGTGGATCCAAACCCTGCGCCTTTGGGATTGCAGCGCAGCTTCTTGCCACTAGGCCACCAGAGCTCCCTTCATCTCTACCTTTCTGATCCAGACTAGCTTCACCTCCAGGACCTCAGCTCCAGCCTCAGCCACCCACTCTTCCTGTGGCTACCAGGAGGGCATATGATGAAGGAGGGATGCATGCCCCATGGGGTCCATGTGGGAGGCAATGAAATGCCCACTCTGCCTGACTTCCTGCAGTGCTGCCTGGGATCCTCCCACCCCACAGGACTGCACACTGGCCTTATTCCTTCCTCTCCTTCCAATTATGCCTGTTTTTCTCTCTCTCCGGCTCTGTTTTTACCAACTCTTGTGTTCTGCTTCTCACTGTGTCTATTAGGGTATCTCTGAATATACCTTTCACTTCTGGTCCCATGGCTCACTGGTCCTGGTTCTATCTCTCCAACCCTCTGTCTATCATTCTGTTTCTCACTGTCCTGTGTAGTCATCATCTATGTTCGGCTCAATCACTCTTGGTCTCTGTATCTCTGTTTCTCTCTGATTAATTTTCTGAGTTCCCATCTCTCCAGCTCCCCAGCTGTCCCAAGGCCTCACCAGAGGCTGAGGATGCCTGGAACACACGGTAGGCTGACAGCCAGCAGAAGCCATCGCCAGTCTCGGATCATGTATCCGACCAGGGCCAGCAGCATCACACCCCCTGACCAGAAGATGCTGCTCAGGACGCCAGCCACAGTGCGGTGCTCCACATCCAGCCACTCCATCTCTGGGCCCAGGGGAGGGGACGGAGACAGAGACGGTTAGTGAGGGCAGATGGCACAGTCTTGGCAGAGGCTGTCTCCGGCCCTGGAAGCCCTGCTTGCCCCTGCTGTCTCACCTAGGGGCATCACAATAATGGTAAAGCCAGCCAGAGCTGCGCCCGTGAGGGTACGGGTAACGGTGAACATGGTGTAGCTGACGGAAGCTGCAGACGCCAGGCCCAGCACCAGGGCACTCACATACGCCACCAGTAGCAGGCGACGGCGCCCAAACCTGCAGGGAAGCCATTCAGAATCAGCCCTGCCATCGAGAAAGGGTGTCTCAGGACTGAGGCAAATTACACCCACACCCCTGATAGTGGGACTGAATCCCCCCACACCACTCACAATCAGCCCCATGCCTTATCCCACCTGTCGGACAGGTATCCGAAAGCCACAGCCCCCACCAGCACGCCAGCAAAGAAGAAGGTGGACGAGGCTCGATTCAGGCCTTTCCGCTCACACACCAGGTCCCACTGCAAGGACGGGCAGACGGGGCCTCAAGTGGACATGGGCCCTTTCCAGCTAACCCCAGCCTTTCCCCTCTAGTCCCTCAGGTTTTCTGAGGTCACTGAGCCATCCTCCCAGCTTCCTTGTCAGACTTTCAGCCCCAACTCTCTATCCCAGCCTGGGTAGAGGACACTGCCCCTTCCTAATCTTCCAGACTCAGTTCTTCCTGTAGAGGTTTTGACCATGACAATGAGATCCCTGCTCCTGTCCTAGAAAGACTCAGTACCCCACACCTGGATGGGCTCTGTAAACCCCACACCTGGGACCTAAAAAGAGGAGGAAGGGGAGACGTCTGCTCTTTCCCCACCATTTCCTGTAGAAACTTCCTTTTTAGCTCTGGGTCAAGTTTCTGTAGCCATTTCCACCCTTCCCTGTCTTTATCACCTCTCAACTTAATAATGCTGTTATTATTCTGAATAATAAAAGCTGTGGGGCTCCTTTATGCAAGCCAGGAGCTAGGCTCAGTGCTTGATGTCACAGGCCCCATGTACAGATGGAAACACTGAGACGGTAAGAGGTAAAGCTGGTGTCTGCCACCCACACAGTAACCACTCAAGGCAACCACAGGCCCATCCCACGCCTCCGCCCTCGTCATCCAGTACCTCGGTTGCAATAGTGGAAGAGAACTCGGAGTGGTCATATTCCCAGCCCTGCGGACAGGCCAGGGTAGGGAGCTCCCCAACAAGCTCTGCGGGACTGTGTCCTCCTCCCTCCAGCGAGGTGTTGGAGAAGGGGCGCGGATGGGCCAAGAGGAGGCAGGAGCTGAACCTGCCGTCAGACCCCCGGGGCAGGTGGGCCTCGAGCCACTCATCCCGGTCGCTGGAGTTGCCAGGGGCCCCCGGGAGGGCACAGTGATGGGCTGGCACGGCGGCCAGGAAGACGGGCAGGAGGAAGTGTAGAGGCAGCAGCAGCCGGGGCAAGGCAAGCAGAACCAGATTCCACAGCTGGAAGGGCCCAAAGCCGCCCACCTGATGCAGCAGCTTCTCAAAGCTCATAGTGTCCACCCACCAGCTGTTCCCGACAAGGGCTCCCTCTGCACAGCTCCACACACCTCCTACCTGGACCCTTGGACTCTGAGGGCGGAGCGGGGTGAATTGATGAGTGAAGAGCTTGCCGCCAGAGTCCAGCCCCCAGGGACTGGCCCAGGACGTGATCCCCACCAGGCCTGTCCGCCTAGCCCAGTGCCTCAGGGGGACACGCTACCATCTGATCAGAGGCCACAGACTCCATGGCTCCAGGCCTCATGGGTGCTCAGAGACTGGGTTGGGTAGCCTGGCATGCAGGGAGGAGGCTCTGGGGCCTGGGGTAATCTCTCCTGGATGCCCTATGTCCTGTGAGGCTCTTTGCAGCCCAACCTGGCCAGCAGCCAGACCTAACCAGGTGAAGGCTTCTTCCTGCGAGGGCAAGGCCTCTCTGGCCCCAGGCCTTACCTGGAGTTTGCGCTTTGTCCTGAGAGCCATCTCCCTCTGCTTCTCTCCCAGGGGGCTCTCCCCATGCACAGAATCCATTTTGCCTCACCAAACCACCCCTTTCCAGGAGCTTCCAGATTGTTCCTTGGAGGGGAGGTAAGGAGGAAGGGGTTTGCCAGGGTCCTCCCCTGGGTCTCTGTAACACCCAAGACCCAGGACTTAACTCATGTGGTTCCTAAAATGCGACCCCTGCAGGAAAGCTCAGCAGAGCCAGCAATATCTGATTTACCCAGCTCTGAGCTTCAGACTTCAACACTAGTAGGCTTCAGAAAACATCCTTTGAGGACAAGCCCAGGCTGAAAGAGAAAAGGAATCATTGAAAGGCACTCACTGAAGCTAGCTAGATGAAAAGATAAACCAAGGTCGGTGTGGGGAATGTCAGGGCAGCAGTGGAGCTGAGACCAGGGTCCCTCGCTCTCAGGTCCCCCAGCCCAGGAGACTCACCTGTACCGAGAGCTGCAGGGCTGGAGGCATCCCGGTTTCTACAGGGAAGAAGCTACAGCAGTGACGTGGTTGTGGAATGGCAGTGGCAGCAGGTGTGGAACTGAGGACAGTTACATAGTGGAACATGGAGGGAGAGATGCCGAAGGGAGGTGATGATAGTAAGAGCTAGTTGTTGAGATTCCAGTGCAAGGAAGACATTCTGCAAATTGCAGAGATGCTTCAGACACAGTCCTTGCACTCAGGAAGTTTGTCGTCTAGCAGGGGGGTTAAGATAGCTCCACAGAACTCCCTGCCTTCAGTCTCACCTCTTTAAACACACTCTCCACACACACTCACACAAAGACTGTTTTAGAACATAAATCTGACTGGGTCATAGCTTCCAAAGCTGCTTGGTAACATGGCTCAATATCAAGAAAACAAAGATTCTCACCACTGGGCCGAATGGCAGCATCATGGTAGATGGTGAAGAGATTGAGATTGTTGACAGCCTCCATTTGCTTGGCTCTACAATCAACACTCTTGGTCCCAGCAGCCAGGAAATTAAAAGAAAAATTTCATTGGGAAAGTCTGCTGTCAGAGACCTCTCCAAGATACTGAGGAGCAACAATGTCAGTCTGGAGACTAAGGTGAGCCTGATACAGGCCACAGTCTTTGCCATTACTTGCTATGCATCAGAAAGCTGGACTATGACTAGGGATGATAGAAGGAGATTGATGCCTTTGAGCTGTGGTGCTGGAGAAGAGTATTGAGGGTACCATGGACTGCTAGAACAAAGTTCATCCTGGAGAAGGTGAAGTCAGGCTGTTCCTTGGAGTCAAGGATTCTGAAGCTTCGTCTGACATACTTTGGACATGTTGCAAGGTGGGATCAGTCCTTGGAGAAGGACGTCATGTTTGAGAGGGTGGAGGGAAAGCACAGAGTAATGGAATAAGTGTGTTAGAGACAATAAGATTGGCACAGGATAGAGCAGGATTTAGGGCTGTTGTACATAGGGTCGCTATGAGTCGCAGGTGACTCGATGGCACATAACAACAACAACAATCATATTTTGCAACTATCATCATTAATTGTTCCTGAATTGTTCCATCATCCTTAACTGAAGCTCCCGACTCTCAAAAAAAAACCCATCATCATAAAATTGATTCTGACTCATCGAGAGGCTCTAAGACAGAGTAGAGTTGCCCCCTTGGGCTTCTGAGGCTGTGTCTTTACAGAGCTGAGAGCCCCGTCTTTCTGCCATGGAGCAGCTGGTGGATTTGACGTGCCAAACTTCAGTTAGAAACTGAGTGCTCCAACCACTGGGCCACCAGGGCACCTGAACAGAAACTCAGTACACCGCAGATGTTGTATCTTCTTTCTGCCTCCCTCCTGCTCTGGCGTTATCCTCTGATCCTGAATGGTAAGGTCAAGCCTACTTGTCCAGCAGCTTCACAGAGGGGCAGCTGGAGGTTTCCCACAGTCAGGGAGAAAAACCAGTGAGGCCAACCCTGGACACTGGCTGTGGTGCCTTAATGTTCTTTTATTAAAAAATAAAACTTTGGTGGGGGAGGGGTGGGCAGGGAGAAAAGTACAGCAATGAAGGAATAGAAATCCAAAGTCTCTGTAAATTTTCATTAAAATTCATAAGAAAAAAATTATCTCAATTTCTTTACTATCCATCATGATGCTGCCAATCGACCCAATGGTGAGAATCTTTGCTTTCTTGATGTAGAACTTCAATCCATATTGAAGGCTGTAGTCCTTGACCTTCTGCAGAAATTGCTTCAGGTCTCCCTCAGTTTCATCAAGCAGGGTTGTGTCTGTCATCTGCGTAACACAGATTGTTGATGAGTCTTCCTCTAATCCTGAACATGAAATCAAGTTGCAGTAATAATAATGGGTGACTGGAATGCAAAGGTTAGTTGAAAAACATGGACTTCATGACAGAAATGAAGCTGGAGGTAGAATCAAACAAGCACATGAAGAAATGTTCAAAATCCCTAGCTCTAAGAGAGATGCAAATTAGAACAACTATGAGATATCATCTCACCCCAGTAAGAATAGCAAAATTTAACAGAACAGCAAACAACAAATGCTGGCCCTTATTCACTGTTGGTGGGGGTGGAAAATGGTGCAAACACTATGGAAGGCAGTATGGCACTTTCTCAAAAAGTTGCAAATAGAAATATCATTTGGCTCAGCAATTCCACTACTCAGAATATACCCTAAGGAAACCAGAACTGCCACCCAAGCAGATATATGCGTGATATGTTTATTGCAGCTTTGTTCACAATAGCAAAGAGTTAGAAACAACCCAAGTGCCCATCAACAAATGAATGGCTAGAGAAGTTATGGTATATTTACACAATGGAATACTATGCTGCATTGAAAAACAAGCAACTTATGAAATATTATACAAAATGGGTGACCTTGGAGGACATTATACTGAGTGAAATATCTCAGTCACAAAAGGACAAATACTGCATAGTGCCCCTGTTGTAAAGCGAGACTGACATCTGAGTTAGGGAGAAACTAAGAAGGGATAAATAATGTATACTGCATTGAAACAGATAAGGGAGAGAACTGTTTAGGAGGAATATATGATTAGATATTAATGTCATGACAAAAGTCCAGAATGAAAGCTGCATATTGGAGTAGACTGTGGCAGGGGGGGGGGGGGAGAGGGTGTGGGGGTGGAGTAGATTGTATAACAATGATTTTTTTTTTTTTACTTTTCAAAGAGAAAAGCAAACTGGAGTGGGCAGGGAGGAAAGTGTGCAGCTATGAATGAGTGGAAATCTAGTCTCTGTAAACGTTCATTAAAATAACGTTTTTAACCCCCATGATACAATAAGAGTGCATCTGAATTCCAAAATCAATCTCCATAATAGTCTATGTGTTTCCTACTGCCAAAGGGGCCCTTTAGAGTAGTGAGAGAAGATCTTCACCCTGAAACCCACAGCGTCCCTTTTCAGCAGGAAGTAGCTAAGAGAATACGCCGTCCCCTTTTCCTTATGACACAGGGTGAAGTCTCTCTCAGGGAGGAGTGATAGGGAATGGCAAAGGATACACTGACAAAGAAGATTAATCAGAACTGGCTTTGACAAGCACTGTGGCATTTGGACAAGAACAAACTGGGAGGAGGGTACAGAGAATAGTGCAACAATGAATGAGTGGAAGCCCAAAATCTCTGTAAATGTTTATGAAAATTAATAAAATATAATTATAGAAAAAAAAATAACGTTTTTAAAAAATTGCACAATCAATGATTTATTCATTGCAAATACGTTTTATAAGAAACAAACACAGGCGACACACATGGATTTCACCTGATAACATGTATAGGAATCAGATTTATTACATTTGTGAAAAAAATCACTGGAACAGCTCAATATTAGCTGTGAAAACTAGGTCCGTTTTCAAGTGGAAGCTCAGGAAAATTAAGTCAAATCCAAGGGAGCCAAAATATGACCTTGAGTCTTTCCCATCTGAATTTCAAAACCATCTCAGGAACAGGTTTGAGGCCTTGAGCACTGATGAGAGAAGACAAGGTGAGTTATGGGAAGAGAACAAGACTATTATCCAGGAAGAATGCAAAAGGTTACAAAGACATTACAAAGACAGAAGCAGAAAAGACCAAAATGGATGTCAGAAGAGACTCCGAATATTGCACTCGAGCACTGAGAAGCCAAAGCAGAGGAAAGAAATCAAGATATTAAGGATCTGAACAGAAGATTTCAAAGGGCAGCGCAGGAAGACAAAGTATTACAATGAAATGTGCAAGGAGCTGGAGTCAGAAAATCAAAGGGGCTGAACTCGCTCAGTCAGCATTTCTTAAGCTCAAGGAACTGATTAAAACAAGCTTGGATGCAGGAGTGGCATCCACTTCTGAAATAGCTTGCCTGTGGAAACTCTATGAACTTGGAGAAATGATGTAAGTTATACAAGTGTCAGGTCTTTCATTTATAGGGTCATTATGAGTCGTCTACAACTTGACAGCACTTAACAACAACAAAGAACTGAAGAACAAATTCAAGCCAAGTTGCAGTACTTAAGGATGCTATAGGCAGAGTATTAAATTATCCGGGAAGCTTTAAAAGAAG